CTCACCACAGTGTGTCACAATTATATTAGAAGAAATATGTAAATGTTATGATTTTTATAAGAAATTCCAAAATCGTGTAACATAACACCAGATACCTTGCTTTGGACAGTCCAGAACAAATCTAACACTTAGATACTACTTTGTTTAATAAAGTCATTTATAAAGATGTTTTCAAATCCAGGAAATATGAAAATAAGTTTAAGCTAATGCTAGCTTTGGCTGCATTCTGTCTAACCTTCCTCACCCAGAGTTTACATTGTATTTTCGGCTGTTGCTAATTTCTTAACTGACACATTTCTATAGTATAATGTTCTTTATATGGTGTAGAAGATAACCCAATGTGTTCTATTTGAGACTGAAGGGGGTGTTGCATTGTTTTTGTTGCAGTTTATATATCTTATAATGTAATTTAGGTGAACTTCCTGTTTCATTTGTATGCTTTTATTTTGAAGGCGAGTTAACGCGGCTGACAGGAAGTGGTTGTAGCTTTGGAAACAACGTGACGGAGAAAGTAATATCTTCTATGTAACGGCGGAGAAAGAGAAGAATGGACTGTATGTGTTTAAATGTTAGCACCCCCAAAAGAGGCTCAAGCTCTCAAGTTGGGTCTGGAGTTACAAATACATTCTAATTCATCAGTAAAGTAAAGCCTACGAGCATTATTCGGAGGGAAATGCTACATATGGTCAAATGGATGTAATACAGTCAGATTCAGATTTCAATCCAGCTTTGACTAAATATGTAGTGAGTGATGTGTCTGTAGTGCACTCACCAGAGTTTGCAGAGATCCTGCTGTGTTGAAAAGAGCTACTGAGTCGAGTGTTTCTTCAGAGAAACAGAGACTGCTGCTCTGCTGTCGCTCAGACAATCTCCAGCTTTCATTTCTGGGAAATTGAAACTCTTCTCTTTCAGTGTGGTCCCTCCTCTCAGTGGCAGTTTGCCAAGAGGGAGTGGAGGAAGAACTGTTGAGGCTTGTTATTTAACTTTGTGACGATGCACATTACAACTGATCCAAGAGGCTTTTCAAACAGTGTATTGAGCACAAGTAGGAATATGTTCTCACTGCATTTCCTCCTTCCGCTTGATTTCACAACAGTTTTACAGGCTGTGTGTTATGATCCCTGTTTAAGAGCAGCTGGTGAAACACTTCCTCCTCCCTGAACAGACTGATAAGGGTTTTTATTGGAGAGAACTGACACGTGATTGTTGACTCACATTCAGGTCAGTCTTAGTTTATATTAGAACCAGATTCATTTGTATTCACCTCTAGTTTTGGATTTAGATGTAAACGAACTACAGCTCTAACGTCTGATATGTAGTTAAATCAAATGTATATTTATGTTGCAATATATCAAAATGTATCCTAGGAACTTTAATATAATAATAACAATATTAATGATGTGTTCCTGTCCTCCTTCAGTGTCTGCAGTGCTGCCGGCAGTCATGTTCAGGTAGAGAACAACCGGCTAAACGGCGCCCACCATGCGGAAACATCTGGAAAGGATCCGTTTCCGGGGCCAGAGACGGGACGAGTTCCTGCATCTGATTCTCCCAACACCTCCGACACAGAGAGCAACGAGGAGGTCGTGAGCAGACCTCGAGTCTCCGCCAGAGAGTCGGAGCAGCAGAGTGACGCTCAGGTACACTAACATACCAAACAGAGAGAAACTCCAGGGGATTTTAGCCTTTGCAGACCATTTACATGCACTAATACTCTATAACACTACAGGAGAGGGAAAACCTCCCAAAAAGCAAAATAGGTCCTCTTTAAAGATCTCCAATTATACTATTTTTAGGCATATATTATAGGGATAGTTATATATAAAAATCATGTCTATGAAGTGTTTTGTTCCAAACACCAAACAGATCACCCCTTCTATTTCTGCCTGTTACTAAAGTGCTGATTCTGGGTCAGTAGCTACGATGCCACGCCCCCAGCAGAGCTACATGTGTGCAGAGAGAAGCAGAAACTCAGCTAAATGCTGCCGTGATTAAACTCCATATCATGTTCCAAACCACATCAATTATTATTTCCGAAACAGTTTGGAGCTCAAACTCTTTTCAAAGTTCCTTTTTTTATTTCCTGCTTCTTTACACAGTACAGCGTTAGCTCTGAATGTTAGCGCTGCATGCTAATGAAAAAATGAAATTCTCCGAAAAAAATCTGAATCTCAGAAGAAGAAAAAAATTGGAGAAAAAAAGTTTTAAAATTGGAGACAAAATACACATCCGGGCTGGTCCTGTTCGATTCCAGTTTTGGATAGTCTGGATCATGCACGGGGACTGTAGTCCCAAATGATAGCTGGGGATTATGGGTATTGTATTGTCTTAGGCCATCCTAAAGTCCGAAATGTTTTTCGGATTTCATATCGCATTAACACCATATCCCTACATGCATTGCGGCTAAAACATCCAATCACCGAGCTTCAAGCTGAGGATCTTGGGTAATCAGTTCAGTGGCTGTGTATCACAATGATGCTTAAAATGTCCCTTATAGGCTTATGTCTGTTTCCGGTTATTTTTATTTTGAAATTCAGTTCCTGACGGACGCCAAAAAAGCCAGAGATTATGGAATTAAACAAATAAATAAAAACAAGGATAATTGTGTGTTATTGGTGAGTAAATAACAGTGTGTTATTTAGAAAAGAATAACAAATTAAAAGGAAAAAAAGATTTAAAAAAATACAGATTTCAGTATTTCGAGACTCTGAGCCCCATTTATTTTCCTCACAGACGGCAAAAAAAGTCCAACATTATATGATTTAAAATAAAAACAATAATCGTGACTTGATATTGAGTAAGAACATGTTTTTATGAACCACACAGCTTCCGGTCTTCCAAGACCTGACCGGACAAAAAGACAAAAACATACTACCAATAGAAATACATTGCTTTAAAAATCGTCACCAAAAAAAGGGGTTGGTGAACACGAATCAATCGATTAAATGTTGTGACTATAACACGAAATGCCGTGAGACTGGGTTGAATGTAGTGAGGTAGAAATATACAAATGGAAATAGTCAAGTACATTGTCAAGTACATTTTTTTAAGCTACTTTACTTAAATTGAGAACTAGTGAAAACTGTACTTCAGATAAAACATTTGTAAAAAGAAAAAAAAATGGTTTTAAAAAAAAATCCATTGGCTCTTTGTCGACTTTATTCAAACTATACAAGCAGTGTGCAGAGGTGGACAAAATAAAATGAACATCACACAGACAGCTGAGATGTAACATCTTCATTTCCCTCGTTTCTTAAACCACTGCAGCCCAATGTTTAATGATCAGATATTGTTGATTCTCACAGTAACTGTCAATACATTTTGTACCAATATACAGTAATTAAAGCATGAATCCTGAATCTACCCTTTTAAAACGTATCAGAGACACCCATCATGTCTCCCTCAATTTAAAATGATTAAAACAAAAAACATGTATACAACATGCTTTTGTTGAAGATAACCTTTTGCTCCTTCACAATCCTTTGATTCAGGAAGATGGGTTGCTTCCACTATTGTTTTGCGCTCACACATTCATATCTCACATTCGACAAACCCCCCACCATGCACTCACCACTTCCCTCTGAAACTCACTCATCCACCCTTTCTTAAAGCTCATCAAAATACCACAATCCCCCACACTTATTTAACACATCCCATATACCCTCGCCCCTGAAGCCCTACTATATATATCCACACTATCAAACACTCCTTTAATGCTCCCCATATCCTTAACTGTTATCGTGGTGTCATCAGCGTACTGATACACCGAGCTTTCCTTTCCCCCGGTACCTCCACTCCCTTCACATCCTCATTCTGCTGCAGCAGGCCCGCCAGTCGCAGAGAGAGGGCCTCCATGCCGGACTGACCTCTCTAGCCTAAACACATTAGTTAAAATCCCATTCACCTTTACACAACTAACTGCTCTACCATAAACTCTCCTAATCCATCCCACTAGCCTCCTCCCAAGCCCCGCCTTCTCTAACACCTTAAACAAATACCCATGATTCACCCTATCAAATGCTTTATTCAAATCTAAACTTACAACCACCCCACCTTTACCTCCCTTCATATAACTTATCACATGCCTTATACTACTAATTGTGTCACTAATATCCCTGCCCGGTATGCTATATGCCTGCACGCTCCCCACCACTGTACCTATCACCCTCTTGATCCTATTAGCTAACGCCCTTGCTAACATTTTGTAATCACTATTTAACATACTCAGTGGCCTATAATTCTACCCTTTTTAAACAAAATACTGATCACCCCCATTGATAGCCTGCAATTCAGCCCTCTCTTCTAAACGTTTGTATAGCTCCAGAAGTAGAGGCACCATGCTTCTTTTTTTCCAACCCCAAAAAGGAACCCGTACATTTCTCCTCCTCCACTAAATATCTAGCCCTACTCCTAACTATTGCTCCCACACACCTCGTCCTCTCTCTCTCACCCAACTCATCCCTCAACCTATTATATTCTCCTATATCTCTCCCGGTCTCTACCTCAACCTTCTCTGCCTCTTTATCCAACTCTTTTCTCCCTCTCTCTTATTTCTCACACTACTATACTTAATGCTAGATAGATCAATCCTACTCTGTTTTAAAACCCCTCAACCACCTGCTTCCTAGAAAAAACCAGTCCATACACATTTCTCTCCCTCCATACATCCTTCATACCGTTATCCCTCATTACCTTTTGTAACATACCCCGTGAAGAATCACTTTTAAAACACATCTATTCTCCCACACCACACATTGAAATCACCAACAACCATACAGTTTCCCCACACTTCCCAAACCCTCAAAAAACATCCTCCTCCCCTTTTCCTCATTCGGCGCATATACATTGATTAGCTTAGACACGTCCCCCATATACTCAAACACCAATCATTCCACCATCATCCTCAACTTTCCTCACATTCTCTACCCCCCCCCCCCCCAGCATTCACCCCCCCCGTTATTTACAAACACATCACCCATCCACCCCTTCTTAACATCCTCTACACACCTTTCATCCCAATGTGTCTCCTGAAAACAGATAATGTCCGTGGCACACAAAGGAATAGCTTGCTCCCTTCTGTCCTTCTTCTTAAGCCCATGTCCATTAAATGAAGCAAAAGATGTTGATTACGAAGAGGAAGAGAGAAATTAAATTCTCCATTCCTTCCCCCGTGTCTGGACCTGCCCCCTTGCATCTTGCGTTTTCCTCCCCATCGTCTTTCTTCCTCTGGCTCGTCCCCTCGCCGTCACACAGGAACCTCTCAGAGCCTCCTCTCCCATCCCGTCCTCACTCTCCTTCATATCCACTTTATCGTCTGCAGACTTTCTGTTGCACTTTTCCATGATATTCAATGTATTGAGATGCACCTGTATGAGTTCAAGTACAGGTTTAGCGAGGCGGTGAGAAATGCTAAACGACTACTCTGAGAAACACCAGTTCTCAGCTAACGACTCTGCGGACAGGTCACAAACTATAAGGCTAAGGCCTCACACTCCGTGAACGACGACGCCTTGCTAAGCGGCAGTGAAACTATGTTTTAGATCAGCTACAGTACTAACTCACATGTTGTCCTGAAACTCTCCAGGGCATCTGGAAAAAGGGTGTGATTGACAGTCTATTGAGCCAACAGAAAAACAAAGGGGGCGGGACTTAGCAAAATGATAGGCAAGCATTTAAGGAATGAAAAAAGGCTGCAAAGTTAATTAAGTGTTAATCGTGGTTAGATTTCAAATTCTAATACTCTACAGTTTCTCTGAATATGTGTTTCCTGTTACCTGCAGACATCCAGCAGCTGGTGGTGGTTAAAGAAGAGGTTCCCCCTGAGCAGCAGGAGTGGAGCGCCAGTCTGGACTGTGAAGATAAACTTCTGTTGTTGCAATGTTGAGGTAGAATGAAGGAGTCTGGAACGTCGTTAGCCAAAGCACTGAGAGTTTATTGAACACAGTACATACACATACGGCCGGGAGATCACTTAGTTTCCCACCGTCCTGTGGTCCACCAAAATCATCTCTGCCCCAGAATAGCCCCAACACCCATCAACACGAGGAAAGGCGGGCTCACAGAAGCCCGCGTTTACCTAATCAATAGCAGATGTGAGACAATAATCTACTTGTCTCAAGGAAATGCAGCCAGGTCAAACCCTTCCCCCACAGGATATGGGAGAAGCTTTTGACCTGTGACCTCAGCCTACAGAGGAGTTTTTGACTGATACTACAAGCAGATGTTTGCAGTATCACAGATTCTAAGAAACTATAAGAAACTCTATAAACAGATCAGATTAAAATATTCTCTTACATGGACCAGGGGGACGCAGAGCCCCCCCCCCCCCACACATTAAGCAGGAACAGGAGGAACTCAGGAGCAGTCAGGAGGGAGAGCAGCTTCAAGGGTTGGAGGAGGCTGATGTCACCAAGTCCACTTTCACTCCTGTCCCTGTGAAGAGTGAAGATGATGAAGAGAAACCTCAGTCCTCTCAGCTTCATCAAAGACAAACTGAACACCTGGAAACAGAAGCTGATGGAGAGGACTGTGGAGGACCAGAACCAGCCAGGAACTCAGATCCAGAGAGACAATTACAACCTGAGACTGAGGACAACCCTGAAGACTCTTCTGAACCTGGGACTGAAGACAGGGCTGATTGGAAGGAGACCAGAGAACCAGGTTCAAACTCTCAGAGAAATAAGCAAGACCCTGTCAGTGATTCAAGACGTAGAGAGAAACCATTCAGCTGCTCAGTCTGTGAGAAATCTTTTAAACACGGAGGACATTTAAGGCGAGACACTACAGGTGAATAGAGTCATTTTAACTTAAAGATATCAGCTAGAAATGTCTCCAGTTAATTACTTACATTAAGGCAATCGTTTTTTGTATTACAAGTTTTGTGAAATAACATGTTTAAATATGCAAATGACCCATTATCTCATTAAACAGCCCTAAAATATAAATTTTCGCCATGTTTTTAGGTATAACATGTTGTATAATTCAGGCTATGAATGATATATAAACCAACCCTTCTGTAAAAGCCTTCATAATATTAATAGTAATAAAACTGGAAGGTTTGGTGTATGTAAGTGCAACTGAAGTGGACATTTCTCACTCAGAATATGAGTAAAAACTCGATTTGAGAAAACGACCTTTAAAGATTGCAGTGAGGCGCTAGCTAAACCCTCTTGTTATTTGGATGACAGCTTGCGCATCGACGCACTTCGTGAAGGTATTTCATAGTCAGGGGTCATTTGTTTTTGTATAAACTTGCTTCGTGCAAGTAACAATTGTTGTCGTCTTCTCTGTGAATTTTTTTTCCGCTGTTCTTTTGCCATTTTGAGATTTAAATTTCCAGCGGAAACTAAACCAGGAAGTGTTTTAGCACACCACGTGACGCATCTGAACGAATCCCGTTGTCAGAAATTAACACCAGCCAATGAGATTTAGTTTTTTGGTTTAAGACCCCTTTGTGCTTTCACGATTGGTTGCTGATACAAAGGAAATGACCATATTTGGATCCGATGAGATTGTGCAGGAGAGACAGAGCTTTCCAGCGATACCTCTGATGACATGGTGCAAACAGCGGTCACGGTACTTTATGTTACGTCAGATGCTAACTTTTGCTGAATTTAGGAGAAATCTACAGACGCAAATAGACAAACTATGGTAAAAATAAACATCTAAATGTGTATTTTGTACGTTTTCCTTCCAAAAGCCTGAAAGAAAACATGTTATGGAATCAAAATAGCACAAAATCTCAAAATTGACCAGTGCATGAAAAACGATGTTTTTGCCTGCCGTGTCTCGCCTTAAAGGTGGGGTAGGTAATTTTGGAGAAACCAGCTCCAGTGCGCTAGAATTTGAAAATACACAGCCGGAAAAAATCTGCCACTTCCTTACAGAGCCCCTCCTCCAACACACACAAACGCACACATGACCAATGAGGGCACGAGATAAGTTTGTGCACAGATGGAAGGCTGACAGGCAGGTAGGCCATCCAGTTATTTTAGCCGGGCCACATTTGGACTATGTGACTGTTGCCAGCATCCATAGTATATAAAGAACAGTGATCTACTTATTTATGAGCTACTAAAAGGCCTTAGGCCTATTACAGCCGTATCCTATTGATTGAAATGATTGGTCGTGCTTTTTACAGTGCTACGGCTTCCACAGATGAATTTTTTGTAAGTATTTATTGTCAAAGCATTTAATATATTCATTGCAGTAAAATGTTGAGTCAGTGCTTTGCTGAAGAGTAACTCAAGCTAGTGGAGTAGAAGTATAAGGTTGTATAGAAAATGAAAAAGCAAGGTACAAGTAACTCAAATGTACTTGAATAGCAATTGAGAAACAGTTCTTAGTTTAAATATTTCAACCACTGAAAAATACTCAATCACAAGTGAAAGTTCTGCATTTAAAATGTCACTTGAATAAAACCACTTGAAGTAGGCTACAGGATTGTATTTTTGGATAATTATACCTGATATAATAATATTTAAGCGGTACTTTATTGCTATTGTTGGTCACTGTGGGGCTGCTTAGCAACGTTCCACTGTTGAAAATAATCTCTCTTCAGGTGTCTATCTGCCAGTCCTCTGTGTTGTGTTCAGGTGTCTGTCTGCCAGTCCTCTGTGTTGTGTTCAGGTGTCTATCTGCCAGTCCTCTGTGTTGTGTTCAGGTGTCTGTCTGCCAGTCCTCTGTGTTGTGTTCAGGTGTCTATCTGCCAGTCCTCTGTGTTGTGTTCAGGTGTCTGTCTGACAGTCCTCTGTGTTGTGTTCAGGTGTCTGTCTGCCAGTCCTCTGTGTTGTGTTCAGGTGTCTGTCGGCCAGTCCTCTGTGTTGTGTTCAGGTGTCGGTCTGCCAGTCCTCTGTGTTGTGTTCAGGTGTCTGTCTGACAGTCCTCTGTGTTGTGTTCAGGTGTCTGTCTGCCAGTCCTCTGTGTTGTGTTCAGGTGTCTGTCTGCCAGTCCTCTGTGTTGTGTTCAGGTGTCTGTCTGCCAGTCCTCTGTGTTGTGTTTAGGTGTCTGTCTGACAGTCTTCTGTGTTGTGTTCAGGTGTCTGTCTGCCAGTCCTCTGTGTTGTGTTCAGGTGTCTGTCTGCCAGTCCTCTGTGTTGTGTTCAGGTGTCTTTCTGCCAGTCCTCTGTGTTGTGTTCAGGTGTCTTTCTGCCAGTCCTCTGTGTTGTGTTCAGGTGTCTGTCTGCCAGTCCTCTGTGTTGTGTTCAGGTGTCTTTCTGCCAGTCCTCTGTGTTCTGTTCAGGTGTCTTTCTGCCAGTCCTCTGTGTTGTGTTCAGGTGTCTGTCTGCCAGTCCTCTGTGTTGTGTTCAGGTGTCTGTCTGACAGTCCTCTGTGTTGTGTTCAGGTGTCTTTCTAACAGTCCTCTGTGTTGTGTTCAGGTAATAATAATAATAATAATACATTTTATTTGTAAAGCACCTTTCATTGCTAAAAGCAATCCTAAAGTGCTACAAGAGGCGTAATAGAAAGAAACAAAAGTTTAATCAAAGGCTTTTTTTAAAAGAAAGGTTTTTAGGCCTTTCTTAAAGGCTTCAGTGGTCTGTGGAGTCCTCAGGTGGTCTGTGGAGTCCTCAGGTGGTCTGTGGAGTCCTCGTGTGGTCTGGGAGTCCTCAGGTGGTCTGTGGAGTCCTCAGGTGGTCTGTGGAGTCCTCAGGTGGTCTGGGAGTCCTCAGGTGGTCTGTGGAGTCCTCGTGTGGTCTGGGAGTCCTCAGGTGGTCTGGGAGTCCTCAGGTGGTCTGGGAGTCCTCAGGTGGTCTGGGAGGGAATTCCACAGCAGCTGCACAGAAAGCCCGATCCCCCATGGTGCGGAGTTTGGTCCTGGGGGGGCGAAGCAGATGGTTTGTTGTGGATGGTTTGTTTTGGAGCGGAGGTTTTATGTGGAGGTTTGTGATGTGAGTAGTTATTTGAGGTATGAAGGAGCGTTCCCGTGGATGCACTGATGGGTGAGCAGTGAGATCTTGTATTCGATCCTGAATTAGACAGGAAGCCAGTGGAGGGAATGAAGGACAGGTGTGATGTGGTTGTACTTTCTCACCCTCATCAGGATCCTAGCGGCACTGTTCTGTACGTATTGGAGCTTCTGAAGGCTCCCGCTAGGAGTCCCGATGAGGAGAGCGTTGCAATAGTCGAGCCTTGAGGTGACGAAGGCATGGACCAGCTGTTCAGCATCTGACAGGAGTTTTGCAATGTTCCTGAGGTGGTAGTAGGAGGTTTTGCACAGGTGTTTGATGTGGGTGTCAAAGGTCAGATGTCGGTCAAATCTTACACCTGTCTTTCTGACGTGTTGTGTTCAGGTGTCTTTCTGACAGTCCTCTGTGTGTTGTGTTCAGGTGTCTTTCTGATAGTCCTCTGTGTGTTGTGTTCAGGTGTCTTTCTGACAGTCCTCTGTGTGTTGTGTTCAGGTGTCTTTCTGACAGTCCTCTGTGTGTTGTATTCAGGTGTCTTTCTGACAGTCCTCTGTGTTGTGTTCAGGTGTCTTTCTGACAAATTCAAATTCAAAAACGTTATCCTCATGTGCACATTAGCTACAGTGTAGACATGGTAATGAAAAACTTAAGACCCAGGCTCCTCCGACAATGGAACATGAATATATATAGAACATAAAACAAATAAATCAAATACAAATATTGAAAGAAATAACAGAATAGAAATAAAATAGTGCATACAACGGACTTTCATATTTTGTTGTATACTTTTATTGAGAATAGCAGTAGGGGTTTAATTACATTACATTCAAGATTTCAAAATTACACCAAACATGTACTTGCTCCAAAAATAATTAAATGAACTAATACGAACAAAAAGGAAAATACATTAAAGAAAAGATCTATGAAAAAACTAAAACAAACAAACAACAAAAACAAAGTAAATGTATCCTCAGATGTCCCTCGTGATGGAGCACAGAGTGTAGCTGACGCTCAAAGGTCCCTTATTATTGTTTTGTCCTTTTTGTGTGTTTAATGTATGCTTGAACTTTGTTTTATTTTGTAAAAATGATAAGGGTTGTCTTTCCGGAAGTCATGTGACCTCTTGCCCCGGATGTTTATATTGTGTTTGTGAGAGAGTAGAGGGCGGTAAAAGTGTAAACGATGTGATTCTACTGCTGGTCTACTAGGCAAACACGTTTTCACGGTGTTTCATGATTCTGCAAAGAAGAGAATAAACGTGATTGTGGACATCAGTTCGATGCCTAAAGTTCTTTCAAGACCAGAGTAGTTACAGTGTTCAAATCAGCTGTTCACACACACCCCAAAACCTTATAAACAACATTATCACACACTTCCTACTAAACTATCTCAACTGTGAAGAGGTATGTTCAGCTCATCTGAGAACAGCTCATGGTGTTCTTTATGTTATTTGGTGCCGTTATAATAAAATCAGCTGTTTTTTTACTGTAATAACAAACAAAAACATTTCATCAGACATTCATTTTACTTTATTTATTCCAAAGAAAAGAGATAACAATAATTGCTTTTGTGACTTATTCATAAAATGGTCTTGAGCCAATATCCAACATTTCCTATCTATTCAATAATTAGACAATACAATGTTAGATTTAGCACATAGTCATGTCAGGAAAGTACAAATGCTTCTCATTTCCTATGTTTTTCTTCTATGATATTACAGTTTCAAAGGCAGGTAATAGAGTTTTTAGAATTCATCAGATCATTTGTAGTCAAATTGGTTTGCTGTTTTAGTAGCAATGAAAACATTTACAGAAAAAAATGCATTGATCACAATCTGATAATAAAGTGTAAACAACGCCCACCCCCTAAAACACATCCATTTATAACATTACATGATATTGAACCTGATTTCAAATCAAAGGGTTGTTCTACTCAGTGTGATTGACAGGAGAGATGATCAGAGGGACAGAGTTTTTACCACCATTGTTCTTACAAGGACTAAAGAATGGGCAGAGTTTCTCTTTGAAGCAGCAGCCAGTGAAGGAGTAGATCAGAGCTGCAGCATAAACATCATAAAAGGAGACCAGACCCTCCTCATAATCCACAAACACCCCCACCTTCTGAGGCTGAGACTTCAGAGAGAGACGGACTGAAGGACTAGCAAGAGCTTTGTACTCATTTTCATTCCTCAACAATATCGTCCAGTAACCTTTCTGAGGAGACGCTGTGATCTTTCCCTTCCTGTTGATCAACTCTCTGACCACTCCTAAATCCCAGTCAGTCTTCCCTTTAACCTGAACCTCGTAGTAAAATCTTCCTGAAGAGAAACTCTGCTCTGCTAAGACACAAGCACAAGTATCAAATCTCTCTGGATTGTCTGGGAGATTCTTCCTCACACCACCATGTTTGACTTGTTTTCCATCAACAGACAGGATGAGTCTGGGTTGTGCTGTATCAGGATCAAGAGTCACCTCCACCTCATACTGCTGGACGCTCTTCAGCTCCACCTCAAGCAGCTTCTTCATCTGATTACTGAGCATCTCCTCCAGCTGAGTCACAGCTCTCCTCACAGTCCCCTCATATGAAGGTGGACGTACCCTGACTTCTGTCCAGTTCTTGGTGGGTGGAGCAGCGTTCAGGGACCTGAAGCCTTGGAGGAGGTGGAGCTGGTCTTCAGAGCGTGAGAGCTGCTCCACCTCAGAGCTTCTCTTCTTCAGCTCAGAGACTTCCTGTTCCAGCTCTTTGATGAAGCCTTCAGCCTGTTCCTCTGTCTCTCTCTGCTTCTCTTTGATGGTGTCCATGAGCTCGGCCTGGCTTCTCTCAACAGACTTCTTCAGAGCGGTGAAGACCTGAACACCATCTGCTATCTCTCTGTCTGCTCCTTCCTTACTGAGCTCCACTGAGCGATTCATCTCCTGAATCTTCAGTCGTCTCTTCTGGATCATCTGCTGAGTTTCAGCCTCTGTCTTCCCCAGCTCAGCCTTCTTTCCTTCATATCCTTCTTTCAGAGGAACAACATCATGTGTCTTGTGGTCTGAAACAGTGCAGAGCACGCAGACACACACCTGGTCGGTCTTACAGAACAGCTCCAGCAGTTTATCGTGCTTCACACACATCCTGCTTTCCAGGTTCTCCTCAGGGTTGATCAGCTGATGTTTCTTCAGGCCTGCTCTTGTCAGGTGAGTCTCACAGTAGGACTCCAGACACACCAGGCAGGACTTCAGGGCCTTCAGTCTGGTTCCAGTGCAGACGTCACAGGGAACTTCTCCTGGTTTGACAACTTGTCGCTCTGAGCTGCTGCTGCTGGCTTTCTGTTGAGCTGACTGTCTGAACTGAGCAGCCATCTCAGAGATGAAAGTGTTGACCAGCATTTCAGGTTTTGTGTGGAATAACTTTTTACAGTTGGGACACTGATAGGGGACTTTAGTATCCCAGTGTTGAGAGATGCAGGCTTTACAGAAGTTGTGTCCACATGGTGTGCTGACTGGATCAGTGAACACATCCAGACAGATGGAGCACAGAAACTGATCTTCAGTCAGCAGACAGCTGGCAGCAGACATGTCTTCACTCTGAGGACTAAAAACATATATTTTTAATAATTTGTTTATTTGGAATCAAACTGAGTGAAAGTGAATTAGAGCCCAGATGTGCTGAGAAAGTAAGAGATACCATCGAGATCTTTTTCTCAACACTAATAAATGAATCAAATATGATATTAAATTGTTCAGACTAAATCTTATTAGGAATAAATAACAAAGATTAACTTACAAACATTAATTTAAGCCAACTAGAATATATAGTTAAAAAGCACACAGGACCATGACAGGGGGAGTAAAAAGGTGCATGTGTTCAGGTACTGTACTTGTGTACTGAGATATTTCCACTTTTCCATTTAAATCTTTATTTGTACTTTTCCACAAAAATATCAGCAGGACCTAATGCACTTTTCACTCCAATAAATGAATTGTTCACAGGTAGTTTGTTACTGCAGATAGTACAAAAATAAATTAATCAACTAAATAGTGATTTAATAAAATTGCATCAATAATTATAAATCCAATAATATATTTGACTTTTAAAAAGGACATTATTCTTATTTATTTATGTTTTCAATTAATGATCGAGTACTTCCTACCCCGCTATAAATTGATGTACATGTATCCTCAATCATCATTGTGTTTATTATTACAGCCAAACCACTTCATTTTTCGTTCTGTTAATAAAGTCAAAGGCCTATGTATTCTTGTTTTTGCTCCTAAACGACCTTGCATGTGGCTCCTGTAAATCCCTTCTGCACTCTGTCTGCAGCTGGTCTACCTGCCTGGGTCGCTGTCAGTGACACAGGAAGGTTAGAGGAGATAACATCAGTATGAGTGAAGCACTTCAGACAGTCATGTCATGGATGCCTTAACGCCATTGTGTCCGACTCGTGACAAAGATAGTTAGTTTTATTTGTTGTCTTTTCATTGGCATTGACAACATGCTGCGTACATTTAACACTGTTTATTACACGGTTTCGTTGAATGCTTGATTCTGATTGGTCAATTGGGAAATTTCAGAGGTCAATATGACAGTAGTACAGACCGATGTTAAGCACTATAAAGACTAAAGAGGATCAAGAGAGAGAAAGAGGTTAAAAGATGGAGTGCTGGACGTCGGATACCAGAAGCAAACAGACAAGAAGTGAACACTAACAGGAACACGGTACGGGCTACAGACAGGAAGTGAACACTAACAGGAACACGGTACGGGCTACAGACAGGAAGTGAACACTAACAGGAACACGGTACGGGCTACAGACAGGAAGTGCACACTAATAGGAACACGGTACAGGCTACAGACAGGAAGTGAACACTAACAGGAACACGGTACGGGCTACAGACAGGAAGTGAACACTAACAGGAACACGGTATGGGCTACAGACAGGAAGTGAACACTAACAGGAACACAGTACGGGCTACAAACAGGAAGTGAACACTAACAGGAACACAGTATAGGCTACAGACAGGAAGTGAACACTAACAGGAACACTATGGGCAACAGACAGGAAGTGAACACTAACAGGAACACGGTATGGGCTACAGACAGGAAGTGAACACTAACAGGAGCACTGTATGGGCTAGAGACAGGAAGTGAACACTAACAGGAACACGGTATGGGCTACAGACAGGAAGTGAACACTGACAGGAGCACTGTATGGGCTACAGACAGGAAGTGAACACTAACAGGAACACGGTACAGGCTACAGACAGGAAGTGAACACTAACAGGAGCACTGTATGGGCTACAGACAGGAAGTGAACACTAACAGGAACACGGTACGGGCTACAGACAGGAAGTGAACACTAACAGGAGCACTGTATGGGCTACAGACAGGAAGTGAACACTAACAGGAACACGGTACGGGCTACAGACAGGAAGTGAACACTATCAGGAACACGGTATGGGCTACAGACAGGAAGTGAACACTAACAGGAACACGGTATGGGCTACAGACAGGAAGTGAACACTATCAGGAACACGGTATGGGCTACAGACAGGAAGTGAACACTAACAGGAGCACTGTATGGGCTACAGACAGGAAGTGAACACTAACAGGAACACGGTACGGGCTACAGACAGGAAGTGAACACTAACAGGAACACGGTACGGGCTACAGACACGAAGTGAACACTAACAGGAACACGGTACGGGCTACAGACAGGAAGTGAACACTAACAGGAACAAGGTATGGGCTACAGACAGGAAGTAAACACTAACAGGAACACGGTATGGGCTACATACAGGAAGTGAACACTAACAGGAACACTGTATGGGCTACAGACAGGAAGTGAACACTAACAGGAACACGGTACGGCTACTAGACAGGAAGTGAACACTAACAGGAACAAGGTATTGGGCTACAGACAGGAAGTGAACACTAACAGGAACACGGTATAGGGCTACAGACAGGAAGTGAACACTAACAGGAACACGGTACGGGCTACAGACAGGAAGGGAACACTAACAGGAACTAGGTTGGGCTACAGACAGGAAGTGAACACTAACAGGAACACGGTATGGGCTACAGACAGGAAGTGAACACTAACAGGAACACGGTATGGGCTACAGACAGGAAGTGAACACTAACAGGAACCACGGTATGGGCTACAGACAGGAAGTGAACACTAACAGGAACACGGTATGGGCTACAGACAGGAAGTGAACACATACAGGAACACGGTATGGGCTACAGACAGGAAGTGAACACTAACAGGAACACGGTACGGGCTACAGACAGGAAGTGAACACTAACAGGAACAAGGTTTGGGCTACAGACAGGAAGTGAACACTAACAGGAACACGGTATGGGCTACAGACAGGAAGTGAACACTAACAGGAACACGGTATGGGCTACAGACAGGAAGTGAACACTAACAGGAACAAGGTTTGGGGCTACAGACAGGAAGTGAACACTAACAGGAACACGGTATGGCTACAGACAGGAAGTGAACACTAACCAGGAACACGGTATGGGCTACAGACAGGAAGTGAACACACTAACAGGAACACGGTATGGGCTACAGACAGGAAGTGAACACTAACAGAACTTATGGGCTACAGGACAGGAAGTGAACACTAACAGGAACACGGTATGGGCTACAGACAGGAAGGAACACTAACAGGAACACGGTATGGGCTACAGACAGGAAGTGAACACTAACAGGAACACGGTATGGGCTACAGACAGGAAGTGAACACTAACAGGAACACGGTACGGGCTACAGACAGGAAGTGAACACTAACAGGAACACGGTACGGGCTACAGACAGGAAGTGAACACTAACAGGAACAAGGTTTGGGCTACAGACAGGAAGTGAACACTAACAGGAACACGGTATGGGCTACAGACAGGAAGTGAACACTAACAGGAACACGGTACGGGCTACAGACAGGAAGTGAACACTAACAGGAACAAGGTTTGGGCTACAGACAGGAAGTGAACACTAACAGGAACACGGCATGGGCTTACAGACAGGAAGTGAACACTAACAGGAACACGGTATGGGCTACGGACAGGAAGTGAACACACTAACAGGAACACGGTATGGGCTACAGACAGGAAGTGAACACTAACAGGAACACGGTACGGGCTACAGACGGGAAGTGAACACTAACAGGAACAAGGTTTGGGCTACAGACAGGAAAGTGAACACTAACAGGAACACGGTACGGGCTACAGACAGGAAGTGAACACTAACAGGAACACGGTATGGGCTACAGACAGGAAGTGAACACTAACAGGAACACGGTACGGGCTACAGACAGGAAGTGAACACTAACAGGAACACGGTATGGGCTACAGACAGGAAGTGAACACTAACAGGAACACGGTACGGGCTACAGACAGGAAGTGAACACTAACAGGAACACGGTATGGGCTACAGACAGGAAGTGAACACTAACAGGAACACGGAAGTGAACACTAACAGGAACACGGTATGGGCTACAGACAGGAAGTGAACACTAACAGGAACACGGTACGGGCTACAGACAGGAAGTGAACACTAACAGGAACACGGTATGGGCTACAGACAGGAAGTGAACACTAACAGGAACACGGTACGGGCTACAGACAGGAAGTGAACACTAACAGGAACACGGTAAGGGCTACAGACAGGAAGTGAACACTAACAGGAACACGGTAAGGGCTACAGACAGGAAGTGAACACTATCAGGAACACGGTATGGGCTACAGACAGGAAGTGAACACTAACAGGAACACGGTATGGGCTACAGACAGGAAGTGAACACTAACAGGAACACGGTACGGGCTACAGACACGAAGTGAACACTAACAGGAACACGGTACGGGCTACAGACAGGAAGTGAACACTAACAGGAACAAGGTATGGGCTACAGACAGGAAGTAAACACTAACAGGAACACGGTATGGGCTACAGACAGGAAGTGAACACTAACAGGAACACTGTATGGGCTACAGACAGGAAGTGAACACTAACAGGAACACGGTACGGGCTATAGACAGGAAGTGAACACTAACAGGAACAAGGTTTGGGCTACAGACAGGAAGTGAACACTAACAGGAACACGGTATGGGCTACAGACAGGAAGTGAACACTAACAGGAACACGGTACGGGCTACAGACAGGAAGGGAACACTAACAGGAACAAGGTTTGGGCTACAGACAGGAAGTGAACACTAACAGGAACACGGTATGGGCTACAGACAGGAAGTGAACACTAACAGGAACACGGTATGGGCTACAGACAGGAAGTGAACACTAACAGGAACACGGTATGGGCTACAGACAGGAAGTGAACACTAACAGGAACACGGTATGGGCTACAGACAGGAAGTGAACACTAACAGGAACACGGTACGGGCTACAGACAGGAAGTGAACACTAACAGGAACACGGTACGGGCTACAGACAGGAAGTGAACACTAACAGGAACAAGGTTTGGGCTACAGACAGGAAGTGAACACTAACAGGAACACGGTATGGGCTACAGACAGGAAGTGAACACTAACAGGAACACGGTACGGGCTACAGACAGGAAGTGAACACTAACAGGAACAAGGTTTGGGCTACAGACAGGAAGTGAACACTAACAGGAACACGGTATGGGCTACAGACAGGAAGTGAACACTAACAGGAACACGGTATGGGCTACGGACAGGAAGTGAACACACTAACAGGAACACGGTATGGGCTACAGACAGGAAGTGAACACTAACAGGAACACGGTACGGGCTACAGACGGGAAGTGAACACTAACAGGAACAAGGTTTGGGCTACAGACAGGAAGTGAACACTAACAGGAACACGGTACGGGCTACAGACAGGAAGTGAACACTAACAGGAACACGGTATGGGCTACAGACAGGAAGTGAACACTAACAGGAACACGGTACGGGCTACAGACAGGAAGTGAACACTAACAGGAACACGGTATGGGCTACAGACAGGAAGTGAACACTAACAGGAACACGGTACGGGCTACAGACAGGAAGTGAACACTAACAGGAACACGGTATGGGCTACAGACAGGAAGTGAACACTAACAGGAACACGGAAGTGAACACTAACAGGAACACGGTATGGGCTACAGACAGGAAGTGAACACTAACAGGAACACGGTACGGGCTACAGACAGGAAGTGAACACTAACAGGAACACGGTATGGGCTACAGACAGGAAGTGAACACTAACAGGAACACGGTACGGGCTACAGACAGGAAGTGAACACTAACAGGAACACGGTAAGGGCTACAGACAGGAAGTGAACACTAACAGGAACACGGTAAGGGCTACAGACAGGAAGTGAACACTATCAGGAACACGGTATGGGCTACAGACAGGAAGTGAACACTAACAGGAACACGGTATGGGCTACAGACAGGAAGTGAACACTAACAGGAACACGGTAAGCGCTCTGTAGTGTTTAAGGACTTGTTTGTGGAAACTGTCAACAGACTTGGATCAGAGCTGCCTTCATTTTAAATTCACTTGTCGGAGGTCCAGACGTTGGTGCTCCGTGGAGCGGAGTTTACTTTCTTAGAGGAAGCTATACAATAATTTTCAAGTCAATAAAATCAGTTCGATTAATATTGGGGTTTAGTCGGTAGTTTGTTTTTTACTTTGACGTCACTAACTCCAACTTCCATACTGATTGTCCCTTTCATTTGTAAATAACTTTAATCATACTCAGTTTATTATTTCTCATTTGGTGTGCATCTCTTTTTCTGGGGCCAACAAACCGGTTGTAACCATGGTAACCAGCATTTAAATGTATCGCCCTATAAAAACATGTGGCTGAACAAGTCCGACTGGTCTGCAGTGTGAGCTTGTTGAACACAGATAAAAACAGCGTTCAGTTTTAAAGTACATCTGAAAGCTTTTCATTTAGTTAAGCAAGAGTCAGCGAGCTCTCGGTTTCCTGTCAACGCCACCATTTCAGAATAGTTCCAAAGATTAGACTGTGTTTTTTTAATAGTATAAAGTTTAATAGAGATGTTTTAAGACTAAACAAGAGTAGTTTGATCACTCTTCTCTCTGTAGTTTTACATCGTTCATTAAGGCTGTCTGACTGATCCCTGTCTGCTGAAAGTCACTTTAAAAACTAACGTTTGTATTCCAGCTGCTTGTTGGTTATTAAACTAATAGTAAAAACACATTTAGACTAAACTTAACTAATCATATGCCTTTTTGCTGTAATATCATCTGGAGCTTGATGGTTCTTGTTAACATCACAATTGTGTACATGTGTAAGGTCCTAAATACATTCAATAGAAAACCATTAAAAACACAATGTGTCCATCTCCATTACTGTCACATCATGCATTTATTCATGTGATAAAACTGCTGCCATGCTGCTTATTCTGCTATTAGAGTCAAATTATATTTAAAGAAGGCTAAATGTTTTTAAATGCCACTTTAATATTCCTGCTGCGGCCCTGAGTGGCACTTCCTGTCTGGGCAGAGCTGAGGCTTTGAGTTCATACAGCAAACAGGTCTGGAAATGAGCTTAAGCTAATGCTAGCTGTGACTGTGTTCTCTCTAACCCTCGCTAGCCGAGTTCAGTCACTGTGTTTGGTTTTACCTCTGCTTTGTACTCGAGGCTCAATGGACACACTTTTACCTTAAATGTTACATTTCTATGGCCTAAAACTTGATATCTGATAAAAACAGATCCACAACCCTCAGATTCTGATGAAACCAAACCTTGTTCAAATATGTAGTGAGTCTCTGTAGTGAACTCACCAGTGTTTCAGAGGTTCTGCTGTTGTTGAGAAGAAGCTGCTGGATTCAGTTGTTTCTTCAGAGAAACAGAGACGCTGTCTGGACCGCAGCTCTGCTCACACTAACTTTACCTTTCCATTTCTGTGAAGTTATAACTCTCCTGTTTCAGTGTTGCTCCTCCTCTCAGTTGCCCGTCGCGAAGAGGGAGTGGAGGAGGAAATATTCAAATAATTTCATGAAGCTCAGCTCAAGTTCAAGCGGGAAGACTGGGAATGCATGAATTTACTCCACAGCTGCATGTAGTCAGATCATTATGGGCATCATCTTTGAACCAATTACATTTCACCTCAATCTCCAGCAGCCAATCATCATGCTGCAGTCAAACTTTAAAATGGTTCTCCTGCAGTCAGCTATGATTTCAGGCATTTATACTGCGGCCCACCTCCACCCCATCCACCTCCAGTGCCAGGAGAGCTAATCCAAAAACCACATCTCCTCCAATCCAGATCTTCAGCATCCTCTTCATCCCTCCTCCTCATCACACTTCCTCTTCATCCCTCCTCCTCCCCAAATCCAGATCTTGAGCATCCTCTTCATCCCTCCTCCTCTTCAAATCCAGATCTTCAACATCCCCACCAGTGTCTAGACCCCGGGGGGGAACCAAAGACTATTAACATTTCTATCATTTGGCGCGTGTGTCAATAAATGTTCTTTAACCCAAAAAAGACTTTCCTGATTGAACTGAAGTAGAAGATCTAATACCACACTGAAAATATTCCTATATATATTTTATCGTGCAGTAAAATGTTGAGTCAGTGCTTTGCTGAAGAGTAACTCAAGCTAGTGGAGTAGAAATATAAGGTTGTATAGATAATGAAAAAGCAAGGTACAAGTAACTCAAATGTACTTGAATAGCAATTGAGAAACAGTTCTTAGTTTAAATATTTCAACCACTGAAAAATACTCAATCACAAGTGAAAGTTCTGCATTTAAAATGTCACTTGAAGTAGGCTACAGGATTGTATTTTTGGATAATTATACCTGATATAATAATATTTAAGCGGTACTTTAATAATGAAAATAATCTCTCTTCAGGTGTCTATCTGCCAGTCCTCTGTGTTGTGTTCAGGTGTCTGTCTGACAGTCCTCTGTGTTGTGTTCAGGTGTCTGTCTGACAGTCCTCTGTGTTGTGTTCAGGTGTCTGTCTGACAGTCCTCTGTGTTGTGTTCAGGTGTCTGTCTGCCAGTCCTCTGTGTTGTGTTCAGGTGTCTGTCTGCCAGTCCTCTGTGTTGTGTTCAGGTGTCTGTCTGCCAGTCCTCTGTGTTGTGTTCAGGTGTCTGTCGGCCAGTCCTCTGTGTTGTGTTCAGGTGTCTGTCTGCCAGTCCTCTGTGTTGTGTTCAGGTGTCTGTCTGACAGTTGTTGGAGATTTGGAGGGATAACTGGTCCGCTTTTCAAATCTCCGCGCGTTCCTATGAAGCTGGTTATAATACAGGAAGGAATCCATATCTACAAAGTAACCGTTAACAATAATCTACTTTAATGGCAATATGACAATTTAATACAATCATTACAATACAACATGATATATTACAGTTATATTGCAATGCTTAAGGAGTAATGCCGGCTTACTCCTGCTCTAGTCCGCATACTGCAGAGCTACTTTCACCCGAGCGCAGCATGTGAAGAAGAGGCCGAACGCCAGGGATCCACCGGAGATATACCAGAGTAAGAAGGAGGGGTTTGGTGTTAGGTCAGCTGGTCATCTTTTCAGGTCATCTCATTGGGAGACGCAACGCAGCAGGAAACCAAACAGGCTCACTTTACAACAAAAGGTCTCAAGGCCTGCATACCTACACCTCCCCCACAGAGCCATAAAACCCTGTTTACTCCAACCAGCCCAGAATGTTTATAGCCATTTGTAGTCCTTACATTTATGAAAGGATATAAAACAGAGAAATCAATATAAAACACAAACACAGGTATTGTTTGAACAGTATTCACTTAACTGCTACTATTGTTAAGCACCAGAGAAACCCAAGAGACCTCTCTTAACCTCACAAACACTGCAGCTAGATCTAAGTTGAATGCAAATCAGGACATGCTCTCCCCTTCCCCCATCTTCCTTTGTCCTCAAAAACACATGTCAACAGGCCCCAAATGCAGCTCACAGTTTTACCCAAATTATTCTCATTTTAAGCTTATCCATAGTTTGCTAACATGAATAAATACAAATATAACTCTACAAATCCCCCTTTTTATCTCCTTCTCCAGAGATAAACTTAGACAAGGCATTTTGAAATATACCCACGGTCATTCTTTTCTACTGTGTCCGTAAATCCATCCGAAGCTGGTATTCAGAGTACTTGAAACCTTCATGGAGACCGAACACCACTTTCCATCGCAGTGAAGGAACCATGAGGGGGTAGCTGAGTGCTAGAATCATCAGCCCCCCCCCCCCCCGAGGAATAGCCCACAAGGACAGCTAATAGGGAGGGGGAGATGCAGCTTTCCCTTCACGGGTAGAACTGATCAGAGCAAAGTAGACTCCTCTGCTGCGCCGTCCTGGCTTGCCGTGTCTTTGTCTCCCCAAATCCGCTGACAGCAGCTTCTGGGCTGCCTGCTAGAGAGATGTCTTCCTCCTCCTCGTCCCGCTGATGGCGGCTTCCGGGTCGATGCTGTAGAGATGTCTCCAGGGTCCTCCTTCTCCGGCCCGCTGATGATGCCTCCCGGGTCGTCTGCTGTAAGGATGTCTCCAGGGTCCTGCTCCTCCAGTCTGCTGCTTCCGAGTAGTCCACGTCTGTCAGGGCCACGTCCGTCCTGATGTCGTCCCCTGGTCCTAGTAGGTGGTTTCCCCGCCGCACACTGGCTCCCGTGGTACGAGCTGTCCCCCTTTTCTCCCAGGCAGACGGCATAAGAGGTCCGCTGGGTCACTCGGTCGGGGTCGGAGAGCCTGGGGTTGAGCCACTTTGTCCTCGTGCTTCTCGGGTCCCCCTTTTGGCGCCGGTGACCTGTGTGGAGAAATCTGATACAACTCCCTCAAGCCTACGCTCAGCTGTTTTGACCCACTTGGAGCCTGTTGGTGGGGTGTCTTGAAACAACAGCCGTCTGTGAACAGGTTTTCCAAATTAATTGTAGACCTCCTATCTGCCAGTACAGCTTCAGAATCTTAATACTTGGATTGTGCCAACTAAATAAGAACCCCAACATCTTTAGGTAAACTAAATAACATATTTCAATAGCTCTGAATTTCTGACAAGCATCTGTGTTTATTTTTAAATGAAATCCTATTTAAAATCCAAATCTAATATGAACTGCTAATGTTTCTGGTAAAGAAACCCACTAATGTTATGGATTCAAAAACAACCAAAATCACGATGCTAACAAAGTGAATGATTTCCTGGTGATACTGCTTCTACCTGTCAGTGCTTAGATATTATCACGCTGAAAAAATGAATACAGAATTCCAACAAACTGTCATCAAATGTCTTTCTATTATAAATTTAGATTAAATGTATATCCCTATAATGACCTAAATAATAAAGTATATGGCTCTTACTTCTTTACCAGGCTAGTTACAGGATGTTGTCTAAATTAAATTCTGTCTCAATACACTACTATGTTTTAGCTTTAACTGTAATATGTTCTTTCTACATTTCAAACCTCAGTTGCTCTAATGTCTGTTAAAATATTACAAAATTGTTTCATTATCACAGGTCAACTTCTTCGGTTTCACAGTAGCCCCTTGGCCACTGCTTCTTTGTTACCTGCTATAATTCAAATCAATATTTAGAAACATCTCAACATTCATCAAACAGTATCTTATCCCCAGATATGGAGCAGGTTAATTACATTCAATGCTCAATCCTTAAAAAATGTAAATTGTGAATTTTACAGCCATGTTGACATTTATACATTATACTTACTCACTCCCCCTTTTTACACATGAAATAATGTGTAACAAAAGCCTGTAATGGGAGGGGAACAAAAACTGTCAGGTAATTGGTTAGGAACATAACGAACATTATTATCATTATTTCCACAGTGAACACTTCAGTGAAAAGAAGTGTTCCTCTCCGTCCTTCAGGCCTAAAAGAAACAGAATCTTCAGCTTTTACATTTGCAAACCGCCAACTCATGTGAGAGGAAAATATCACATGTGCGGTTTCCCCTTTTTGTGGAATTTTTAGGAAACCTCTCGTTTCCCTTGGAGCTCCAAAATAATATGTTAGTCCAAAAACATGCTTGGTTAGTTATTGTTTTAGAATCATGCAGTTACACTGATCACATGCCGGCATTCATTCACACTCACACTGTCTGGTTGTCATGTCAAGTTTGGTCAGGTTCACCCCAGAGTCAGTCATCCACAGTGCCTTGTCAAGTTACACTGTCGGTCAGGGTCAAAGGTCAGTTGGTCTCCGTCTTTTTTGGCCATGTGTCGTGCTCTGCAGAGACTTTGACATTTCAGCATAGGCCAGTATCCTTTGTCTACAAAAATATGTCACGATTTCAACTATAATTTTCAAGATGATTCTCACTTGTCATTGGGACTTCCGCCTCCCACTTTTCCTGAAACTTGGTACAAAACTCACTTCCTTCGAGTACCACTACTAATTAAAATGTCTAATGATCTATTTCAGAAACTTTTGTACAATAACTATTATCTTGAGTCAAAACATTACTAGGATCTGTGTCGCTCTGCATTTCATAGCTCATTATAATTCTGGTCTACTTAAAAAACGATGTTAAACTCTTTAGCAGTGTGTGGAACCTGGGTGTCTGAACATGCAACAATTACTCCCTCCTTTATCAAGGATTTAAAACCGAAGTCTGGTAATAACTATGCCACAATGGTGAAATCAACACTTTAGATTGGAATTTAATATGTGGCTTGGCACTAGCCATTAATACAAACAAAGATTTGTCCTATAGAGTGGTTCCTAAAACTATCCTTTTAATGGTGATCAATATTGTAACCAATGAGATCACTACTTTATTCACACGTGAATAAAAATGTCTTAAAGAATGAATTGTTAACATGATGAAAATATTGAAGAATATGGTTATACTCTGTCAGTGTGTTTTAGGATGATTATCATTTTACTTTAATAGTTTCCTCTTTACTGCTATTTTTAATTTACCAAATGATTAATAAATCTTTCTGTCTTTACGTATTTATGAAGTTAATTCAAGTTATTTAAATGTGCGTTTCGTGAATAAGTGTGTTTATGTGTAACTCACTCATTCCCGTTCTCCTTTCCTCCTCCCCTGGTTTTCTCAAGCCGTGACCCCGGCCTCCTCACTTCTAATCGACCATGCCAACTCCTCTGATTCTGTCTTCTCTTCAGTCCATCAGCTGTTGAATCCATCCACTGTAACTTTTGTAGGCAGCCATTGGCCCAGTCACATCTGCAGCCCCATCATGCCACTGTTGTTGCACTCCTCCTTTACAGTCTCTCTGCTGTTTTTATGGAGGGCGGATTCTGCTCTCATGTCTATTGTGCCAAATCTCGCAGCGCAGTTTGGAACTTCATGTCCTGTTTGAGGGACCGATGAGAGTATCTCTCTGTATGTCAGCATGCTGGTTTGGTTCTGGATGCCACAGGTGGAGATAGTTCTGGCTGCAGTCTTGATGTAGTCTTGTTGTTGTTGTTGGTTCAGCTCTGGTTCTCTGTCTGTACGATGGAGAAGGAGGAGTCTCCTGTTGGGTTAGGTCTCGTTGTCTGCTTGGAGGGTCGGGATCAAAGCCTTTCTAACTCAGAGGGGGAGTCCAGGTCCCGGTACACATTACCTATAAGAAGTCTAGTACACTGATGTTAAATAAATCTAACCCTTTCCACTCTGTCTCTTTCTAATCATACTATCTGTCTTAGTTGTTAAATGCCATCTAAACAACATAATTAATGTCTACTTATGATATTACAAAAACTCACTCCAAAAATTGTTTCATCCATTGTTACATATTTACCCAACACAACTCTGAAATACTTACATGTTTCCAGCATCACATATTCCACACACTATGAAAGAACATCTCCATATCTTCTCTCATTTTAAATCCCACTGTTACTTCGAACAATAGTAAACCTGCAGAGCACACCAATCGGATCACAGTAATGAAATTTGAATCAAGTGTAGGCCTATGTCTTCTTTCTGAACATTTATTTATATTGTCTACATTTGCAAACAGTTCGAGTGTAAAATGTGTTTTGCACAATGTATTTACACTCTACAGATTCTTGAGTTTACTCATCTCCTGGTGCTGTCGTTGTAAAAAATGTTCAATCCCTTATTGTTTTGTACCAGTTTACCAAACAATACCGGCCAGCAATGTAATGATTAAACTCTAAGCTCGCATAAGTTTCAAGGGTGTGATACCCCCTTTCAGCCACTAGATGGCAGCAGCAGAAGTTTCAAGGGTGTGATACCCCCTTTCAGCCACTAGATGGCAGCAGCAGAAGTTTCAAGGGTGTGATACCCCCTTTCAGCCACTAGATGGCAGCAGAACGCTCTACCTTGGTTTAATATATAACAGACCTCTGGCTTTAAGCTTTTAGCATTGGTCTGTTATTTAAACCCCAGTTTTAAACGGCGACTCGATCTGATATATCGAGTTTTCAGGTTTTGCCGTGCAGGATTCAAACCTCGCATTCACACAAACTGCACCATTTCTACGCCACTCAGGAATAAACACCTGCAGATCCGCGCCAAACTGCTCTATTTCACGTCACGCAGGACTTTCGTCTACCTGTCGATCCACGTTTACGTTTTGTATATAACTTTCCTAACATAGTAAAATATGCATTGTATATTCCATTTAAACTATAAAAACACTGTGAAACGCCTACAGACAATCCTAAAGTTTTAGCGTATCCAATTACAGACAGGCGACTTTCATCGTCTGCTTACCTTATTTGCAAAGTTGCAGAGTCCTGCTGATTGTCTGAGATGTTTGAAAGCGTCTGAATTCTTCCTCCGCTTCGTTATCTCTAGACGTCAGGGTCACCATTTTGTTGGAGATTTGGAGGGATAACTGGTCCGCTTTTCAAATCTCCGCGCGTTCCTATGAAGCTGGTTATAATACAGGAAGGAATCCATATCTACAAAGTAACCGTTAACAATAATCTACTTTAATGGCAATATGACAATGCAATACAATCATTACAATACAACATGATATATTACAGTTATATTGCAATGCTTAAGGAGTAATGCCGGCTTACTCCTGCTCTAGTCCGCATACTGCAGAGCTACTTTCACCCGAGCGCAGCATGTGAAGAAGAGGCCGAACGCCAGGGATCCACCGGAGATATACCAGAGTAAGAAGGAGGGGTTTGGTGTTAGGTCAGCTGGTCATCTTTTCAGGTCATCTCATTGGGAGACGCAACGCAGCAGGAAACCAAACAGGCTCACTTTACAACAAAAGGTCTCAAGGCCTGCATACCTACACCTCCCCCACAGAGCCATAAAACCCTGTTTACTCCAACCAGCCCAGAATGTTTATAGCCATTTGTAGTCCTTACATTTATGAAAGGATAAAACAGAGAAATCAATATAAAACACAAACACAGGTATTGTTTGAACAGTATTCACTTAACTGCTACTATTGTTAAGCACCAGAGAAACCCAAGGGACCTCTCTTAACCTCACAAACACTGCAGCTAGATCTAAGTTGAATGCAAATCAGGACATGCTCTCCCCTTCCCCCATCTTCCTTTGTCCTCAAAAACACATGTCAACAGGCCCCAAATGCAGCTCACAGTTTTACCCAAATTATTCTCATTTTAAGCTTATCCATAGTTTGCTAACATGAATAAATACAAATATAACTCTACACAGTCTTCTGTGTTGTGTTCAGGTGTCTGTCTGCCAGTCCTCTGTGTTGTGTTCAGGTGTCTTTCTGCCAGTCCTCTGTGTTGTGTTCAGGTGTCTTTCTGAAAGTCCTCTGTGTTGTGTTCAGGTGTCTTTCTGACAGTCCTCTGTGTTGTGTTCAGGTGTCTGTCTGCCAGTCCTCTGTGTTGTGTTCAGGTGACTTTCTGCCAGTCCTCTGTGTTGTGTTCAGGTGTCTTTCTGCCAGTCCTCTGTGTTGTGTTCAGGTGTCTGTCTGCCAGTCCTCTGTGTTGTGTTCAGGTGTCTGTCTGCCAGTCCTCTGTGTTGTGTTCAGGTGTCAGACGACAGTCCTCTGTGTTGTGTTCAGGTGTCTGTCTGACAGTCCTCTGTGTTGTGTTCAGGTGTCTGTCTGACAGTCCTCTGTGTTGTGTTCAGGTGTCTTTCTAACAGTCCTCTGTGTTGTGTTCAGGTAATAATAATAATAATAATACATTTTATTTGTAAAGCACCTTTCATTGCTAAAAGCAATCCTAAAGTTCTACAAGAGGCGTAATAGAAAGAAACAAAAGTTTAATCAAAGGCTTTTTTTAAAAGAAAGGTTTTTAGGCCTTTCTTAAAGGCTTCAGTGGTCTGTGGAGTCCTCAGGTGGTCTGTGGAGTCCTCGTGTGGTCTGGGAGTCCTCAGGTGGTCTGTGGAGTCCTCAGGTGGTCTGGGAGTCCTCAGGTGGTCTGGGAGTCCTCAGGTGGTCTGGGAGTCCTCAGGTGGTCTGGGAGTCCTCAGGTGGTCTGGGAGTCCTCAGGTGGTCTGTGGAGTCCTCGTGTGGTCTGGGAGTCCTCAGGTGGTCTGGGAGTCCTCAGGTGGTCTGTGGAGTCCTCAGGTGGTCTGGGAGTCCTCAGGTGGTCTGTGGAGTCCTCGTGTGGTCTGGGAGTCCTCAGGTGGTCTGGGAGTCCTCAGGTGGTCTGGGAGGGAATTCCACAGCAGCTGCACAGAAAGCCCGATCCCCCATGGTGCGGAGTTTGGTCCTGGGGGGGCGAAGCAGATGGTTTGTTGTGGATGGTTTGTTTTGAAGCGGAGGTTTTATGTGGAGGTTTGTGATGTGAGTAGTTATTTGAGGTATGAAGTAGCGTTCCCGTGGATGCACTGATGGGTGAGCAGTGAGATCTTGTATTCGATCCTGAATGAGACAGGAAGCCAGTGGAGGGAATGAAGGACGGGTGTGATGTGGTTGTACTTTCTCGCCCTCATCAGGATCCTAGCGGCACTGTTCTGTACGTATTGGAGCTTCTGAAGGCTCCCGCTAGGAGTCCCGATGAGGAGAGCGTTGCAATAGTCGAGCCTTGAGGAGACGAAGGCATGGACCAGCTGTTCAGCATCTGACAGGAGTTTTGCAATGTTCCTGAGGTGGTAGTAGGAGGTTTTGCACAGGTGTTTGATGTGGGTGTCAAAGGTCAGATGTCGGTCAAATCTTACACCTGTCTTTCTGACGTGTTGTGTTCAGGTGTCTTTCTGACAGTCCTCTGTGTGTTGTATTCAGGTGTCTTTCTGATAGTCCTCTGTATTGTGTTCAGGTGTCTTTCTGACAGTCCTCTGTGTGTTGTGTTCAGGTGTCTTTCTGATAGTCCTCTGTGTGTTGTGTTCAGGTGTCTTTCTGACAGTCCTCTGTGTGTTGTGTTCAGGTGTCTTTCTGACAGTCCTCTGTGTGTTGTATTCAGGTGTCTTTCTGACAGTCCTCTGTGTTGTGTTCAGGTGTCTTTCTGACAAATTCAAATTCAAAAACGTTATCCTCATGTGCACATTAGCTACAGTGTAGACATGGTAATGAAAAACTTAAGACCCAGGCTCCTCCGACAATGGAACATGAATATATATAGAACATAAAACAAATAAATCAAATACAAATATTGAAAGAAATAACAGAATAGAAATAAAATAGTGCATACAACGGACTTTCATATTTTGTTGTATACTTTTATTGAGAATAGCAGTAGGGGTTTAATTACATTACATTCAAGATTTCAAAATTACACCAAACATGTACTTGCTCCAAAAATAATTAAATGAACTAATACGAACAAAAAGGAAAATACATTAAAGAAAAGATCTATGAAAAAACTAAAACAAACAAACAACAAAAACAAAGTAAATGTATCCTCAGATGTCCCTCGTGATGGAGCACAGAGTGTAGCTGACGCTCAAAGGTCCCTTATTATTGTTTTGTCCTTTTTGTGTGTTTAATGTATGCTTGAACTTTGTTTTATTTTGTAAAAATGATAAGGGTTGTCTTTCCGGAAGTCATGTGACCTCTTGCCCCGGATGTTTATATTGTGTTTGTGAGAGAGTAAAGGGCGGTAAAAGTGTAAACGATGTGATTCTACTGCTGGTCTACTAGGCAAACACGTTTTCACGGTGTTTCATGATTCTGCAAAGAAGAGAATAAACGTGATTGTGGACATCAGTTCGATGCCTAAAGTTCTTTCAAGACCAGAGTAGTTACAGTGTTCAAATCAGCTGTTCACACACACCCCAAAACCTTATAAACAACATTATCACACACTTCCTACTAAACTATCTCAACTGTGAAGAGGTACGTTCAGCTCATCTGAGAACAGCTCATGGTGTTCTTTATGTTATTTGGTGCCATTATAATAAAATCAGCTGTTTTTTTACTGTAATAACAAACAAAAACATTTCATCAGACATTAATTTTACTTTATTTATTCCAAAGAAAAGAGATAACAATAATTGCTTTTGTGACTTATTCATAAAATGGTCTTGAGCCAATATCCAACATTTCCTATCTATTCAATAATTAGACAATACAATGTTAGATTTAGCACATAGTCATGTCAGGAAAGTACAAATGCTTCTCATTTCCTATGTTTTTCTTCTATGATATTACAGTTTCAAAGGCAGGTAATAGAGTTTTTAGAATTCATCAGATCATTTGTAGTCAAATCGGTTTGCTGTTTTAGTAGCAATGAAAACATTTACAGAAAAAAATGCATTGATCACAATCTGATAATAAAGTGTAAACAACGCCCACCCCCTAAAACACATCCATTTATAACATTACATGATATTGAACCTGATTTCAAATCAAAGGGTTGTTCTACTCGGTGTGATTGACAGGAGAGATGATTAGAGGGGCAGAGTTTTTACCACCATTGTTCTTACAAGGACTAAAGTATGGGTAGAGTTTCTCTTTGAAGCAGCAGCCAGTGAAGGAGTAGATCAGAGCTGCAGCATCAACATCATAAAAGGAGACCAGACCCTCCTCATAATCCACAAACACCCCCACCTTCTGAGGCTGAGACTTCAGAGAGAGACGGACTGAAGGACTAGCAAGAGCTTTGTACTCATTTTCATTCCTCAACCATATCGTCCAGTAACCTTTCTGAGGAGACAGTGAGATCTTTCCCTTCCTGTTGATCGACTCTCTGACCACTCCTAGATCCCACTCAGTGTTCCCTTTAACCTGAACCTCGTAGTAAAATCTTCCTGAAGAGAAACTCTGCTTTGCTAAGACACAAGCACAAGTATTACATCTCTCTGGATTGTCTGGGAGATTCTTCTTCACATCACCATCTTTCACTTGTTTTCCATCAACAGACAGGATGAGATGGGGTTGTGCTGTATCAGGATCAAGAGTCACCTCCACCTCAGACTGCTGGACCCTCTTCAGCTCCACCTCAAGCAGCTTCTTCATCTGTTTACTGAGCGTCTCCTCCAGCTGAGTCACAGCTCTCCTCACAGTCCCCTCATATGAAGGTGGACGGACCCTGACTTCTGTCCAGTTCTTGGTGGGTGGAGCAGCGTTCAGGGACGTGAAGCTTTGGAGGAGGTGGAGCTGGTCTTCAGAGCGTGAGAGCTGCTCCACCTCAGAGCTTCTCTTCTTCAGCTCAGAGACTTCCTGTTCCAGCTCTTTGATGAAGCCTTCAGCCTGTTCCTCTGTCTCTCTCTGCTTCTCTTTGATGGTGTCCATGAGCTCGGCCTGGCTTCTCTCAACAGACTCCTTCAGAGCAGTGAAGACCTGAACACCATCTGCTATCTCTCTGTCTGCTCCTTCCTTACTGAGCTCCACTGAGCGATTCATCTCCTGGATCTTCAGTCGTCTCTTCTGGATCATCTGCTGAGTTTCAGCCTCTGTCTTCCCCAGCTCTGCCTTCTTTCCTTCATATTCTTCTTTCAGAGGAACAACATCATGTGTCTTGTGGTCTGAATAGGTGCAGAGCATGCAGACACACACCTGGTCGGTCTTACAGAACAGCTCCAGCAGTTTATCGTGCTTCACACACATCCTGCCTTCCAGGTTCTCCACAGGGTCGATCAGCTGATGTTTCTTCAGGCCTGTTCTTGTCAGGTGAGGCTCCAGGTGAGTCTCACAGTAGGACTCCAGACACACCAGGCAGGACTTCAGGGCCTTCAGTCTGGTTCCAGTGCAGGCGTCACAGGGAACTTCTCCTGGTTTGACAACGTGTTGCTCTGAGCTGCTGCTGCTGGCTTTCTGTTGAGCTGACTGTCTGAACTGAGCAGCCATCTCAGAGATGAAAGTGTTGACCAGCATTTCAGGTTTTGTGTGGAATAACTTTTTACAGTTAGGACACTGATAGGGGACTTTAGTATCCCAGTGTTCAGAGATGCAGGCTTTACAGAAGTTGTGTCCACATGGTGTGCTGACTGGATCAGTGAACACATCCAGACAGATGGAGCACAGAAACTGATCTTCAGTCAGCAGACAGCTGGCAGCAGACATGTCTACACTCTGAGGACAGAGCAAGTGAAAAAACAAAACCATTGTTAGTTTTTTAAATGATTATTTATTTAACATGCAGTGGACATGCCGTGGATGGCTTTCAAAGTTCAATAACATCTGTATCAAGTGAAAGATATGGATGATTTAATCCTCTGAATGGAGGTTCCATCTGAAAGTAGATGAATATGTCCAAGCCAGATATCAAATCAAGTTTTATTATATAGCACATTTATACACGATTTTTGGTCGAGCCAAAGTGCTGTACATATAATAAAAATAGCCTACAGTAGAGACACTTTACAGCAAATACAACAACACAGATTGTTCAGAATATCAGTATGAGAAAAACAACACCCTCTGTCCTTAGACCTTCACATCGTACAAGGAAAAACTTCCGGAGAAAAACCCACAGTTTAAGGAGAAATGTGTAGAGATATGTAGAATGGGAACCGGCTAATGGCAAGAACTAAAACTAAAACTCTGAAATATCAGGAGAGTCATCCTGAATTATTTAGTTTTATTGCAATCAAATGATCACTAAAACTTTCAATGAGATGGCCCACAACACATAACCATTATAATTGTCCTTGAACTTTTGGCTGCCATCTGCAGGTATTCAGCGTCTGGTTCACACAGCTTATCATGCAGTCCAGCAGGGGCGCCGCCAGGGATTTTGGGCCCCATGAAAAGATATCACATTGGGCCCCACCACCAGGCCCAGGCCACGCCAACCAAGCACAATGCTGTAACCACACCTCCAGAACCCAACCGACTCATTTATGCTTTAAATAACTACCTGTACAGGTAATGGATTTTTTGTCAAAGCACTTAAGATATTCATTGCTATCGGGATGTTAAGACCATTCCATGCAATATAACAAAAAGTGTATCTCGAGCCGGTTTCTCAAACTTACCTACCCCACCTTTAATGTCGGCAAACCATTACAATTATTATTTACAATGGACTACGCTTAGCTAACAGACTAATTTCCACCACTCATGGACCACACCACCTTTTCTTTTGAAAAACTGGGTGACATACTGTCACCCTTTAGTCCCTCTCTCTTGTCTTTTCTCCTTTCTTTTCTTTCTTGAAAGCCTGACTTTGTTAGTCGTTGAGACATCGTACAGACGTAAGTACTAGCATCCCTCCTCACATGCTCTCACTAATCTCTCTGCTAGAAAGGGCCGGTGCTGCACAGCGTTTGGAGGCAGGACCAAACCATTACATGTAAATAGAGGGGGGTGTTCGATGCTTTGGATAATTAACTTTTGGAAGAAAATAAGTTAAATGAATCATAAGTTTAGTGAGTACATCATCAATATGACGATATATTAATGTTAATTATTGATGAAAGGTTACTTACATTTTTTTTCTTAATGTTCTAAAATGTTTTGGGGCCCCTGTCAGTCACAGGCCCTGAGAATCATCCTAACTTTTCACCCCCTTACGGCGCCCCTGCAGTCCAGTTCTGGACTTTGCTGCCAGTAAAGGAAACTTAGATGTGCAATTTAATTGTTATATCTTTATGAGATCACCAACTCATCAAAAAAGTGATGACATGGTGATTTCCACTAACATTTGTTTTACAGGGAAGAAAGAGTTGGATCCTAATTCTTAAACTCACTCAAGTTCATGGACAGTTTGCAGGAATCTCTCTTTTCATGCCTCAGTTAGAAACGTCTCCTGTCTACGGCCCTGAAAAGTAATTCCTCTCAGAGTAGAGCTCAGGTTTTGAGTTCATACCGGTTATTAACATACAGTGACAATGATCATTTGTACCATCTTACAAGGGAAGACATCAGTCCCTACAGAAACAGTGAAGTCAAGAAAAAACATCTGGGAATTCAAGGCTACTCGACAAATTGTGTAACCATTGTTAAACTATAGTTTTATGGCTTTACATGAAATACAAGATCAAATCTGACACTAGTGCAGAAAATCCAAAGGGCAAGTCAGATAACTCTTATTCCTTATATATGTGTGTGGTAAAACAAAGTCACTTATTAAAATGTTAGACCATCATAAGTTATTCTTTAACCACAGACAATAAAGGTCAGGGGAAAGTTTGTACATGTTAACCTAATATTAGCTGACAACGTTCTGTCTCACTTTAACTAACCAGAGTTTAGTAACTGTATTATATTTCTGGCTAAATGTTCTTGTTATTACATTACATGTAATTTGTTAGACACTTTTTTTTCCAAAGCGACTTACATACATTCAGTACTGTGGACAATAGAGAGGCGAAGTCCCTTCCCTTCCGGTGGGACTCATGGGACCTTATTTCGGAAAGAGTTTGTATTGAAGTCAATGGAGAGAGAAAGATTATCTTTTGATCCCGTTTGAATTGTGCCACGAATTACATATATGATGTTTGTCAGTCTTAAATAATAATTTCCATGTCAAAAAAGTCACAGTTTGTCGTAAAACTGTTGAAATATAAGACTATGAAAAATACGCAAAGAAAGACTACAAATCCCAGAGTCCCGGTCCCGCATGCTAGCTCTCACGGAACCGACTAACTCCCCTTGTGTGTATGTGCAGCTCTCAACGTGCCCAGACTTGGAGTGATTTTCACCTCTTTTAATACTTTCCGCCTCATTCTGAGAGAAAGAAGTGAAATGTTTCAACGTGACGGCCGTCTGGGTGTGTGGAGCGAGACGGGAGATGTAGGTCATTGAGCGGTTTCACACAAAAAAGTGTTACTTCACAGTTTTACGACACTTTTTAATTTTTTTGACTTGGAAAATTATCTTTTAAATTGTCAAACATCATGTGTGTAATTCGTGGCACAATTCAAACGGGATCGAAAGATAATCTTTTTCTCTCCATTGACTTCAAAGCATAACTTTTCAGAAATAAGGTCCCATGGAGCTCCACCGGAAGGGGAGGGACTTCGCCTCTATCCCCACAGGAGCAATTTGGGGTGAAGTGTCTTGCCCAGGAACACAACGACATGCTGACTGCAGTGGGACTCGAACTTGCTATCCCCTGATTTGAAGTCCATCAAACTATCCACTGAGCCACAGCCTCCCTACAGGCCAGTTCGTGGCAGCGGCCGCAGAAGAAATGTATTGATTTAACAGTAGTTTGGTTAAACCACTAAGTTCGACAACGCCTCCCTGGGAATTTCACCCAGGGACATATAACACGTTTTAAGTCACTAGGACACACAGGTTCGGTTACTCATGGAACAAGAGACGTGTTAAAAATAGAAGTTTATTTTGTACAATGGTAAAAATACAATTTAAAAACAGTCACACAGGGCTATATCCAAAAGGGAAAACTAATCCGCCTCAAAATGAATTCATTTTGTGGCGTAACATTATTTTGAATAGTAAAACAGGTGTCAAAGATTCAGTTTTTAACTAAATGTGGACTGATATTTAGATAGTGTGCTTGTCTCTATAGGGCAGCGTACTCACGGGTTTCTGGAAGATTCTGTGTCGTTGAGGATCCAGTTCCTTTAGAGAGGGACAGAGAGTCGTGTCTCACCTGCAGCTCTGCTCTCACCCACACACACTTTACCTTTGATTGGAGGAAATGTGACGTCTCAACTTTCTGTGTGGCTCCACCTCTCAGTGTAGCCCCACACACACACACACACACACACACACACACACACACACACACACACACACACACACACACACACACACACACACACACACACACACACACACACACACACACACACACACACACACACACACACACACACACACACACACACACACACACACACACAGCAGTTTGTTATAAACCCCAGAGGGCTGGCATGAGTTTATTGGAGTGTATCTCTCTCTAGTGTTTTTGATGAGTATTTTTACTGATCATATAGCTTGGATAATAAGTACTTCTACTTTTACTAAAATAGAAGATCTGAGTACTTCTACTTTTACTAAAGTGCAATACATACTTCTCCCACCTCTGTACATTACCAGTAACTGATATACATGTTAAAGTTAATATGAATTCATATTGCCAATTACTGTAGCAGAGATGGCACAAATACACACATCCTTTACTAAAGTAAAAGTACAGGTATTTGTGTTTAAAAATACTCTGGTGAAAGTAGAAGTACTGACTAAACTTCTTTACTCAAGTCAAAGTAAAGAGGCTTTGAAATGTACTTCAGTAAAAAGTACCCATAACTAGCAGCTGTTTTAAAGAGTACCTGACCTCCCTTTATATCAATAGAACAATAATGTCATTGTTAGCTAATGAATGTTTCCATGCTGAACAACGGCAACATGACAACGTTTCATTGGTCCCTCTTCTTTAGAGAAGACCAGGAAATGATGGATACACGGATCGTGTTCAAATCAATAGGCACGCAATGACTCTAAAGAATAATGATCACGCATCAAACACACATTCAGACTAAAGGAACCAGCTGTTTGGAAAATGAGAGAAGTAGAAAGTACAGGTATTTGTGTTCAACATGTGAGAAGTAGAAAGTACAGGTATTTGAGTTCAACATGTAAGAAGTAGAAAGTACAGGTATTTGAGTTCAACATGTAAGAAGTAGAAAGTACAGGTATTTGAGTTCAACATGTAAGAAGTAGAAAGTACAGGTATTTGAGTTCAACATGTAAGAAGTAGAACGTACAGGTATTTGTGTTCAACATGTAAGAAGTAGAAAGTACAGGTATTTGAGTTCAACATGTAAGAAGTAGAAAGTACAGGTATTTGAGTTCAAGATGTAAGAAGTAGAAAGTACAGGTATTTGTGTTCAACATGTAAGAAGTAGAAAGTACAGGTATTTGAGTTCAACATGTAAGAAGTAGAAAGTACAGGTATTTGGGTTCAACATGTAAGAAGTAGAAAGTACAGGTATTTGAGTTCAACATGTAAGAAGTAGAAAGTACAGGTATTTGTATTCAACATGTGAGAAGTAGAAAGTACAGGTATTTGAGTTCAACATGTGAGAAGTAGAAAGTACAGGTATTTGGGTTCAACATGTAAGAAGTAGAAAGTACAGGTATTAGTGTTCAACCTGTAAGAAGTAGAAAGTACAGGTATTTGTGTTCAACATGTAAGAAGTAGAAAGTACAGGTATTTGAGTTCAACATGTGAGAAGTAGAAAGTACAGGTATTTGAGTTCAACATGTGAGAAGTAGAAAGTACAGGTATTAGTGTTCAACATGTAAGAAGTAGAAAGTACAGGTATTTGAGTTCAACATGTGAGAAGTAGAAAGTACAGGTATTAGTGTTCAACATGTAAGAAGTAGAAAGTACAGGTATTTGAGTTCAACATGTGAGAAGTAGAAAGTACAGGTATTTGAGTTCAACATGTGAGAAGTAGAAAGTACAGGTATTAGTGTTCAACATGTAAGAAGTAGAAAGTACAGGTATTGAGTTCAACATGTAAGAAGTAGAAAGTACAGGTATTTGAGTTCAACATGTGAGAAGTAGAAAGTACAGGTATTTGAGTTCAACATGTGAGAAGTAGAAAGTACAGGTATTTGAGTTCAACATGTAAGAAGTAGAAAATACAGGTATTTGAGTTCAACATGTGAGAAGTAGAAAGTACAGGTATTTGAGTTCAACATGTGAGAAGTAGAAAGTACAGGTATTAGTGTTCAACATGTAAGAAGTAGAAAGTACAGGTATTTGAGTTCAACATGTGAGAAGTAGAAAGTACAGGTATTTGAGTTCAACATGTGAGAAGTAGAAAGTACAGGTATTAGTGTTCAACATGTAAGAAGTAGAAAGTACAGGTATTTGGGTTCAACATGTGAGAAGTAGAAAGTACAGGTATTTGGGTTCAACATGTAAGAAGTAGAAAGTATAGGTATTTGTGTTCAACATGTAAGAAGTAGAAAGCACAGGTATTTGGGTTCTACATGTAAGAAGTAGAAAGTACAGGTATTTGGGTTCAACATGTAAGAAGTAGAAAGTACAGGTATTTGGGTTCAACATGTAAGAAGTAGAAAGTATAGGTATTTGTGTTCAACATGTAAGAAGTAGAAACCACAGGTATTTGGGTTATACATGTAAGAAGTAGAAAGTACAGGTATTTGGGTTCAACATGTAAGAAGTAGAAAGCACAGGTATTTGAGTTCAACATGTGAGAAGTAGAAAGTACAGGTATTTGGGTTCAACATGTAAGAAGTAGAAAGTACAGGTATTTGAGTTCAACATGTAAGAAGTAGAAAGCACAGGTATTTGGGTTCAACATGTAAGAAGTAGAAAGTACAGGTATTTGAGTTCAACATGTGAGAAGTAGAAAGTACAGGTATTTGGGTTCAACATGTAAGAAGTAGAAAGTACAGGTATTTGAGTTCAACATGTGAGAAGTAGAAAGTACAGGTATTTGAGTTCAACATGTAAGAAGTAGAAAGCACAGGTATTTGAGTTCAACATGTGAGAAGTAGAAAGTACAGGTATTTGAGTTCAACATGTAAGAAGTAGAAAGCACAGGTATTTGAGTTCAACATGTAAGAAGTAGAAAGCACAGGTATTTGTGTTCAACATGTAAGAAGTAGAAAGCACAGGTATTTGAGTTCAACATGTGAGAAGTAGAAAGTACAGGTATTTGAGTTCAACATGTAAGAAGTAGAAAGCACAGGTATTTGAGTTCAACATGTAAGAAGTAGAAAGTACAGGTATTTGAGTTCAACATATAAGAAGTAGAAAGTACAGGTATTTGGGTTCAACATGTAAGAAGTAGAAAGTATAGGTATTTGTGTTGAACATGTAAGAAGTAGAAAGCACAGGTATTTGGGTTCTACATGTAAGAAGTAGAAAGTACAGGTATTTGGGTTCAACATGTAAGAAGTAGAAAGCACAGGTATTTGGGTTCAACATGTGAGAAGTAGAAAGTTCAGGTATTTGGGTTCAACATGTAAGAAGTAGAAAGCACAGGTATTTGGGTTCAACATGTAAGAAGTAGAAAGTACAGGTATTTGAGTTCAACATGTAAGAAGTAGAAAGCACAGGTATTTGGGTTCAACATGTAAGAAGTAGAAAGTACAGGTATTTGTGTTCAACATGTAAGAAGTAGAAAGTACAGGTATTTGAGTTCAACATGTAAGAAGTAGAAAGTACAGGTATTAGTGTTCAACATGTAAGAAGTAGAAAGTACAGGTATTTGAGTTCAACATGTAAGAAGTAGAAAGTACAGGTATTAGTGTTCAACATGTAAGAAGTAGAAAGTACAGGTATTTGAGTTCAACATGTAAGAAGTAGAAAGTACAGGTATTTGGGTTCAACATGTAAGAAGTAGAAAGTACAGGTATTTGGGTTCAACATGTAAGAAGTAGAAAGTACAGGTATTTGAGTTCAACATGTAAGAAGTAGAAAGTACAGGTATTTGTGTTCAACATGTAAGAAGTAGAAAGTACAGGTATTTGTGTTCAACATGTAAGAAGTAGAAAGTACAGGTATTTGAGTTCAACATGTAAGAAGTAGAAAGTACAGGTATTTGAGTTCAACATGTGAGAAGTAGAAAGTACAGGTATTTGAGTTCAACATGTAAGAAGTAGAAAGTACAGGTATTTGTGTTCAACATGTAAGAAGTAGAAAGTACAGGTATTTGTGTTCAACATGTAAGAAGTAGAAAGTACAGGTATTTGAGTTCAACATGTAAGAAGTAGAAAGTACAGGTATTTGAGTTCAACATGTGAGAAGTAGAAAGTACAGGTATTTGAGTTCAACATGTAAGAAGTAGAAAGTACAGGTATTTGAGTTCAACATGTAAGAAGTAGAAAGTACAGGTATTTGAGTTCAACATGTAAGAAGTAGAAAGTACAGGTATTTGTGTTCAACATGTAAGAAGTAAAAAGTACAGGTATTTGTGTTCAACATGTGAGAAGTAGAAAGTACAGGTATTTGTGTTCAACATGTAAGAAGTAGAAAGTACAGGTATTTGTGTTCAACATGTGAGAAGTAGAAAGTACAGGTATTTGGGTTCAACATGTAAGAAGTAGAAAGTACAGGTATTTGAGTTCAACATGTGAGAAGTAGAAAGTACAGGTATTTGTGTTCAACATGTAAGAAGTAGAAAGTACAGGTATTTGAGTTCAACATGTAAGAAGTAGAAAGTACAGGTATTTGTGTTCAACATGTAAGAAGTAGAAAGTACAGGTATTTATGTTCAACATGTAAGAAGTAGAAAGTACAGGTATTTGAGTTCAACATGTAAGAAGTAGAAAGTACAGGTATTTGAGTTCAACATGTGAGAAGTAGAAAGTACAGGTATTTGTGTTCAACATGTAAGAAGTAGAAAGTACAGGTATTTGTGTTCAACATGTAAGAAGTAGAAAGTACAGGTATTTGTGTTCAACATGTAAGAAGTAGAAAGTACAGGTATTTATGTTCAACATGTAAGAAGTAGAAAGTACAGGTATTTGAGTTCAACATGTAAGAAGTAGAAAGTACAGGTATTTGTGTTCAACATGTAAGAAGTAGAAAGTACAGGTATTTGAGTTCAACATGTGAGAAGTAGAAAGTACAGGTATTTGGGTTCAACATAGGAAGTAGAAAGTACAGGTATTTGTGTTCAACATGTAAGAAGTAGAAGGTA